GAGGTAAGCAGCGTGCCCCAGTCACACAGCTTGGAAGGGGCAGAGATGGCATGGAAGCCGGTCTGACTCCGGGGCCCTCTGGTCCATGGCAGCAGTGTCTAGATGAGCTGTGTGAGGGTCACTGCCCTCACAGTCTTCCGCTCGTCCCAGTGCTCCCTCAGCTCTTGCGCTCCTCAAACCTCCTGGAGAGCAGAGAGGAGGGTGAGCACTCTGTCTCTGAACGTACACCAGGGGCCACTCCCCTGGCCAGGGCTGTACCCACAGGAGCATTTTCTGCAGCAGTGTTCTGACTTTTCAAAGGCGTTTTCCAGCTTAGGTGGATGCTTTTCTCTGAAATGCCCTGGCTGAGAATGGTGATTGCTTTAAAGTGGCATGGTGGGCACTAGGACACAGAGCCCTAGCTCACTGTGGATGAGTGTGGCAGCTCAGAGGCCCGACCCTAGTTGGGAAGACCTATTTCTTCTCCATTGACCAGAGATGGTGCTGCGCACATCTGAATTTAATCAGCTGTCAGGTGGCTACTATATACTAAGCAGCGCACAGGGACATCTTAGTGTGCCAGTTTCTAGCCAGGTGAGAGGTGTGCGGAGCTGCCCAGGGCCAGGGCATTTCATCAGAGGGAGTTTGAGTTTCAGTCCAGAGGGTGGTTGGCAGTGAGCTTTCCAGAGGGTAATGCTTGTTTTAACTTTGAATCAACTGCTTCTTTTCAAACAAGTTGCTCCAGACTGTCTCACCCTCTCCCAAGGGAGCCAGTCCTCCAGGGTTCCTAACAGGCCCTTCCAGTAAGTTGTGGGGATGCGTCACGTGGAGGGGCTGCCCCAAACAGGATGAGCCAGCCTGGACTTTGACGATGTGTGGAATTTAGGTGGCTGAGTAATAGCGATAAGCATAATGCCAGACCATTGATAGAGAACTTACCTGGTATCAAGCACTCTGCTAAGCATTATAGAGACATTATTAATCCAGTCTACAAGTGGATGGTGTTTGCTATTCATCTTTTCTGCAGATGAGAAAACTCCTTCAGAAGAGGTAACAAACATGTCAAAAGCCACGCAACTAGTAAGAGTCTGAGCTAAGGTCTGATTAAAGGTAAATCTCTTCCCAGAGTCTCTACTTTTAACTTCTTGTGTTTGTTGGGAGACAGTTATCTCTTGGGTCTCTCTGTATGTCTGGTGTGTGAAGGACTGACTACTCTTTTTTTAGGACTGTCTTTCAAGGTTATCTGCAAAGTTAGCAGCCTTGGAAAGCAGCTGTGACGTCTCATTCCAAAACGGGACAGGAGTGCTCAGAGCTCCAGATTCAGGTCCCCTAAGATCAAGGTTCCTTTCTCAGAATGCAACTCTCTGTGTGCAGGTGTCACCTGGTCCTCTTGATGCTGCTCTGTGGGAACTGGGGCTTGGGGAAGATGGTCCCATCGTTGATGCTTTTGGAGCAATCAAAGGACAAAAGTCTCTGAGACCAGAAGAACTAGATAGTGCCTGGCTACCACCGAGAAAAATGTGGAACAAAAATCAAAATAATGAAAAACAGGCTCACTGGCCTGATAGAGACTGGTAGGACCCCTGAGACTATTGTCCTAAATTACTACGCAGGCCTGGAACTGAACTCACCCCATGGGTCAAGGTTCAGTCTATAACACCAGGGAGGTACGCAGCCTTTAGAACAGTGGTTCTCAACCTTCCTCATGCTGCAACCCTTTCATCCAGTTCCTCATGTTGTGGTGACCCCCCCAAACCACAAAATTATTTTCGTTGCTACTTCATAATTGTAATTTTGCTACTGTTATGAATTGGACGACCCCTGTGAAAGGTTGTTCGACCCTCAAAGGGGTCACACCCCACAGGTTGAGAACTGCTGCTTTAGAACAATCAACTGCAGATCAAGAGGGCAGCGTTTACCCAGGCAGGAAGCGTCGAAGGCAGGAAGGGATCGGAAAGAAGCAAGAATGGAAACACAAGGAGGAAGTGGGAAGAGTGCTGTCACTTTGTAGGGATTGCAATCAGCGTCACAAAACAAGATGTGTATGAATTGTTGAACAGAAAACCAATCTGCTCAAATCTTCCACTTCCACCCAAATCACAACAAAAAGTTTTTAAAATGCTGATGTTTAAATCTTTGGTCTCTGATCTTGTCTTGTCTCTGATCTTTGTCTGGTGTCTTCTTACCAGAATCTACCATGGGATTATGGTAGACTAATTTGTTAGTTTACAAATGGGGCAGAATTTTAGGTTCTTTGTAGTTTTTTTCCAGTGACTTGTGTCTAAGCTTGTGTGTGTTCTTGCATTTGGGACTCTGGCTCTGAATAAGAGAGGGGCTATGTGAGCACTGGAACTTTGCAGGTTGTTATAAATTGAATTGTGTCTCCCCCAAATATGTGTTCTAAGTTCGAACCCCTATACCTGCTGCACGAGACCTCTTTACAGTGTTGAAGTGCAAAGATG